TTTTGATAATGTCCCAAAAAAGGCAAGTGGGGGTTCTCATACATAAATCCTTCTTTTTAATGTGGTGCTGATGTGCACTTATATAACATTTTTAAAAACAGGACATTCATTTATCCTAATGTCACTTTCAATGTCCTTACTTAAACCCCCTGCAGGTCCATTAACGCATTAAACCTCCTTATCTGGGTCATCTTGCCATCTTCACAAAACAGCCCTTTACAGCCCTAAACCCTGCTACACTCACCCCGAGTGAGCTCATACACACACATACGCACACAAGCGGAATGTTAACCCGCTTCTGTCACAAGGACTTTATCAACAGTAGAGAAAAGCATACATAAAAAAGTAAAAACGCCTACATCTAATGGCAACTCAATAGGGAAGTGCCTGCAGCTCCTTAATGTCTCTTTGCTCCAGATCTGAGAACACAAACACTTTTGACCTGAGCTGCACAAAAACAAACCAAAATCTTTACTACATTATCATGTAACACACTGGTAAATTCCTTAACCAAACAGTAGACCCTCTTTGAATAAAGATGGTCTACTGTTTGGTCAATTGCTGTCACATAGGGAGAGAGACATGACACACACATGACTCAGATCTGTGTCCTCCTCCTAAGGGTAAACTTGCCGATGGAGAACAATGACATCAAGTAGGACAGATCTTAAACTGGCTGGCCATTTCTGTCAGTCAGTCTCAGATGATGGTCAAGGCATCCAACAGACATCTTAATCACCATTAAAGTAAATGAATAGAAGCAGTGGTAAAGAACCTGTTTTGCATGGGACAGCTTCACTCAATGGCTGAAAGCATGGTTTTATAAATAGCTGCAAAGTGCTTGCTGAGAGTGAATGTTTTTTCCTAGCATTAAAAAAAAAACAGGCCCCTCATGAGTGTGTACACAATTTTTTTTTTTGATTCGTTGATGACTTACTATGCATCTAAGCACAATCCATCCATAAAGCAAAACCCCTGCAACTGTGTTACCCTATTTGACAGAGGTCTGTTCACAGTGTTATTTATGACCTCAAATAAATCAAAACCAAATTAACAGGATTTGTTAAAATTTTTAATTGAAATCTGTTTAGCAATGCACCAAAAATATCTCTTTGCAGGAAAAACACACTTGTCTACACATAAAGATTTGGCACTAACTGGGTTATAAAGCCCAATCTAGTTATGTTTGATGAATTGGTCGCTGCAATCGCAAACTGTGACGTCAAAATGCCAAACCTTTTATATTTGCACTTGTCTGCAGCATTTTTCATTAGTGAGTCATGGCTTGGAAAAACACACCGCTACACTCCTGGAATAGCAACAGAGGAGGTCATTTACAGAAAGCTGAAAATCTCATTTTTTTTTCCTATTGTCTCGATCCACAAATTCAGTGTCATCTAAAAGTCCAATGCTCCCACACTGATGGATGGCACCTCCAGCTCATCCATTTTGTAAATGTACCAGCAGTGCCTAAATCATCTAATGTATCAAAAGAACAGTATACAGTAAACAGATGGTCCAGATCTGAGAACACAAACACTTTTGTGTGTTTGTAGAACTGATTCGCCTAATCAGTTCTACAATTATATATTTATTACACTAAATTCTAATGAATTACTACAATTTTTAGCTAAAACTACAGCGGCTGTTAAAGTTGGAGTAAAATCTGGTGTCACTGTTGTTAGCAGATAAATCATAAATGTATGAAATATAAATACGGGGAAAATTAATGGCACAAAGCCTAAAAATGTTTTAAAAAAAGCTTTAACCTTCGATGAAATTTTGCCTTGGGCTTTAACAGATGAACATAAGTCTGTGTTTACCTCAACATTTTGCAATCCCTTGCCAAAACAACCCTAATATGCTGAGCACATCTTAGGATCACAGAAAACAGATGGCATCAGGCAGATAGTTGCCGTGTCACAAACAAACAGAAAAAACCAGCTGCCAGCTTCTTCTGGCTCTGAGCTCAGAGCAGTAGCATAGAATGGGATAGAGGGTGTAGGACTGAAGGCACAAAATATAACAGTATGGAGAAGACATATTACTGACCTGAAAGCTACAATAGATGGTCTGCCTGGGGAAGAATAAGCACAAAACACCTCCTCTTCTTCATATCCAGTGTGCCTCTTCTGGGCCTGAGCAGAATAACAATTTCTCAAGTTTCAGTCTGATTTATTATTCCTAACTACGGTATGTTCTCCTGTTTAAGTGAAGGGTCTCTTTAAAAAGAAGGCTGACTAAATCACATTAGTGATAGCATTATCTTACCCTGTCTTTAGCATTTACCTTTCTTATCATGCCATGAAGTTTTGCTTGTTTCCTACAGTAAGCATTCCAGCTTTCTTCATCAAAACCATAGTTAAAGTAATCTGAGATGTTAGCACCTAAAATAAAAACACTGAATGGTAATGAATAGGTCTGAATGTAATTACTGAATGCATACAAGAATCTCATTGACGTGTCAGGTCAAACAACAATACTTACCAGCTTTTCTCCATGGCTTTTTCTCCAAAAACTCTACTTTCTGGTTAATTTCTTCATTTCCTTGGACTTTTTCTAACAATAGGTCATTTGTAGTACCTGTAAATCATCCCAATGCAGACATAATGATGTCACATATATTTCATATATTTGTCACATATATCGTCATTTCTCATTTATTTTCAATAAGGAATATTTTAAATCATAAAGATCTGAGTTAAGTCAGCTGATTTGCAGTAATGAAGCTGACATTCTCAATGTATGTGAACTAATTATGAATATGTGTAAAATGACTGAAAGTGTACTTTTTTAAATGTCAAATGGTCACTGGGTTCTCTAATAGGCTGATAGTTTTCACTGTAAAATTCTATATTTAAATTCTTGGCTGACTCTGAGGAGAAATATAGTCACTGTGTGTCTTTGGAAGCTGAATGCATATCAGTTAACTGATTTAAGACATTTATATCTTATAATCTTCTTATTTCTTAAACCAAGTTTACAATAAAGTCTGGTCTTTGTGTGGCTGCTTTGTTTAATGTTTCACTGTCATTTGTGTTGCCCAAAAATCTCAAAAGGGTTGTCACTACTCACCACCTACATGTTGTGTCCTCCTAAGATGCATAAATGTACTGCAAGAAATAAGGAGGCCCTCACATCATCACCACTGTTATCTCTATCATCATCATTAGTAACTTTAAATAACAGAAAGAAACACTTCTGTCTGGGTTGAGTGCTGATGACACAACGCGTTAACTTAAACACTATGAAAATATCTCAAAGCAAATTTTTGACAGAAGGGTTTTTTTTTTACAAATAAGGCCCATTCATAACATACCTAACAGCTACAAAAACACAATAAAAAGCTGGAAAAATTCAAAATAATATGTCATTATCATCTTGGACAGCTTTCAAATTGTCCCATAAACAAAAGAAAGGGATGAAAATAATATCAAATCATCCAAATAGAAAAGAATTTCCACTTACACAGATAATTGTCAGAATGATTTTACATTACTGCAAGAACACTAAACCTTGATGGGTACAAGTGAAAAATGGCATTTAACCATGTCTATTCACGTTCAGGTTTTTCATGTGGGTATTTTTTTTCCCCATTAGGCACTGATCAACGTAAGTGACACTGTTGTTCTTTAAATTGCTTGCATGATTTCAATCACAAATTCCCAAATGCAAAAACAACTAAACTATCCCGCCCAAAAAACAACATTGTTTAAGCCTTAGTATCCTTTACAGTCACTAACTGTAATTGGCATGTTATGCTACATTTATTCTGAGGCATAAAGGCTGGCGTAAACATACAAAAGAAAAAAAAAATCAGGGCTCCAGTTGTATGATTGCTAACATCCCCATTTCCCAGCTCACAAACAAATACCTCTCGCCTGACAGCGAGTTAATGAGCATCAAATTCTTTTTAATGCTCGACATGACTGACTGCACATTTCGGGCAGCACACAAGGTGCCGTCACATGTATTGTGCAACTATAATGTCATTATCGTACTGTGAAAACTGTATTATACCTGAACGCTTCATTAGTATAATACTGTTGGAAATAATCATGCCATTACAGTTTATTTTCAATTTGTCTACTGCTCACTGCAATTTACGGCCTGTGAGACGAGTATCTAACTCCTTCTAATTCATCACAACAAAATTAATATTGCTTTGTAACTTTCAATAATTTTGTATTCTTTTGTATTGAATTGTTTCCTTTAGTTTTTAGTGGTTTAACTTAAGTTAAACAACATTTCATGTATATATTTTTTTATTATTTAGAATATTGTCTTGACATATAAAGGGTCCCCTGCTTGGTTAGCGTGGGGACCCTTACTGGTCCAGTGTCGAGTACCACTACGCCTTATATACATATATGCACATATATATACACGCGCAATGCCAGAACAATGGCTGTACACAACTGTAAATTTGCACACTTATTTATTTAAGGCACTGGCTACACACCTGGGTGAGAGTCCAACCCTTTGTATCTCGTGTCGGTCATCTGTGACGTTCATGTCATATACCCCTAAAACAAGGAACTTGGAGGCACATTAAAATCAAAGTGGCTCTATTGAAAACAGAAGAAACAGCTGGCCTCTTTAAACTAAGCTATGGTATCTTTCCGTTAAACGCTGGGGGAAGTGATTTAAACAAATATAAAGAGGAACTCATAACTCTAAGCATTAAACATTTTTAGGGGTTTAATTGTTTGTGCCAACTGTCATTTAGATTAGTTTTTAATGAAGGAAGCTCGTGTCAACAAATCGCCATAACTAATTTCAATTAGCTTAAAATCCATCAAGACAAATTAAATTTCACATGTTTAACATAATTTTTGAGATTAAATTTACCCGATGGATCCTCCCCCTTTTAGCTCTTGTCGTTCTTGGTTATGGTAGTGAAAGTCTAGATACTTCGTGAGAATATTGCATAAGAAGTTTTCCTTTATTAACTCTGTAACGATTGTTCTCGGGATACTGCTTATTGTCATAGCAACGACGTTTGGGTGACGTTTTAATGAAGCGACGGGCTAGCGCCACGTCACCTTTAAGAGACGTGTGTTTGTTTTGTTGGAGCTACTTAAGCTGAAATTGCTGATGTGTCTTTGATTTCGGTGAATTTAGCTGATACACGTAACTAGGAAAATGTTGGCGACTGAGGAGTTTACGCGATTCCCCCTCTTGATGTGGGAGAAGGTGCTGTCGAAGGTAAAGAAATCGGTTGTTTTCATGGATGACAAATGTGCAGAGGCTCTCCACTGGAGTGGAGGAGCTGCCACGTTATTGGAAGCTGGAGCCAGGAATTTAAAGCAGTTTTCGAGTTTCGAAGCGTGCGGTGTCAATGAGCCTAAAGCCGTGTTTGTGGTCAGCACACTGTTGAAAGGGAGGACAGTTGACATTATTAAAGACATCATATCCCTCAGTCACTTTCAGTACTGCGTTGTCTTTACCACCGTTGCTCACTCCGTGCACCTGCTCGTCAACAAAGTTACGACAGAAATGGAAGGAAGCCCTGTGTTTGAGCAGTTTGAAGAGAAATTATGCGAGTGGATGGGAAATATGAACTACACGGCAGAGGTCATGCATGTTCCAGTTGTCTTCGCCCCTGTGTCACAGCAGTTGATAGTTGCACCCCCGTTTGCGCACCTGTTCCCTCTTCTCTCGCCAGACCTGGAGGCCATCAATGAAAAACGACCAGAGAAGAGAAGATTTGCAAGCCTGAATGATATAGACATGCACTGTCTCCCTGCTGAACTGCAAATTGAAGTCAAATCCTTAGCTTCAGCGTTAAATTCAATGTTTGAGGCTACAGGTACGAGAGAGGAGAGTTTTGCTCTGGGTCCAATGAGCCGCATCATAGCAGGGGAACTCGCCAATCTTCCTCAAGCAAAAAACCGAAGGAAGACAGCCCCTAATAAAGCATCAATCATCTTTGTAGACCGAACGATGGATCTTACAGGTAATATTTGTGACCATGTTGTGTTTGACCTTTCTGCATGCTGCATAAGCCCAATCACACCAGAATCATAACAATGACAGTGGTAAGAGTCAAGTAAATGTCTAGCACAAAGATAAGCAGTTCATTTTCCCAAGAGGGTTTCATCTAAAGAAAGTTTAGATGGGTCTAATGAATCACCTTTACCTTCACTTGCCTGGCTTGGTGTGTGGGGGTCATTTAGCTGGAGGACACCTGGAACCAGAATGCACATTGGGAATAAGGAAAGCCAATGGAGGCAATGTGATACTTTACCCGGCTGGGAAACCTTGGGTCCTGCCGTCCATTTAGATGTTAGTTTGATGTGCACCACTTATAAGCATTGTTGCAGACCATGTACATCCTTTCAAGGAAACTGTATTCTATCATGGCTGTGGACTCTTTCAGCAGGATATTGAGCCCTGCCACAAAGCAAAACTGGTTTAGGAATGGTTTGAGGAGCACAACAACAGGTTTGAGATGTTGACTTGGCTTCCCCAGAGCTCAGTCCACTAAAACATCTGTTGGATCTGCTGAACAAACAAGTTTGATTTATGTAGGCCCACCTCAAAACTTACAGAATTTAAACTGTCTGTTGCTAATATCTTTGTGCCAGATACCACAGCACAACTTCAGGGGTCTAGTGCAGACCATGCCTTGATGGGTCAGGGCCATTTTGGCAAGAAAAGGGGAACCAACACAATATTAGACAGGTGGTCATAATGTTATGCCTGATTGGTGGATATACTTTTGTTTACTGGCAGCAGCCTCTTTCTTCTGTGAAAGCATATGATTCGTCATGTAAAAGAGAAAATCTAATTTAAAAATGTAAAAAGAAAAAAAAATCCTCACAAATTAGGTTGATATCCCATAGATAAATTGAAATTAAAGAAGAATAACAGATGCTTTGGTTTGAGCATCCCCACCAATTAGGAACTTTCTCTGTCGAGTTTCTATGATCTTTCTGAGTACACATTTATATTGTTGCCTCTTTTTACATTCCTGTCTTCTGTAATTTGGCAATCATTAAAATTAAATACCACCCACGATGAGATTAGTTATTGCAGAGCACTGCAGATATTACCTTGCCACCTCCCAACGAATATTTATGGTAAATGGCCTGTATTTGTATAGCGCTTTTCTAGTCCCTAAGGACTCCAAAGCGCTTTACACAACCAGTCATCCACCCATTCACACACACATTCACACACTGGTGATGGCGAGCTACATTGTAGCCACAGCCACCCTGGGGCGCACTGACAGAGCTGCCGAACACTGGCGCCACCGGGCCCTCTGACCACCACCAGTAGGCAACGGGTGAAGTGTCTTGCCCAAGGACACAACGACCGAGACTGTCCGAGCCGGGGCTCGAACCGGCAACCTTCCGATTACAAGGCGAACTCCCAACTCTTGAGCCATGATCGCCCCAAGTTGTCCTCTGATGCACATATATTTTTCCATACTTTTCTCCCCAAGACCAACATACATATGTAGAACCGTACACTCACCAGCCAGAGCTACCTATTACACCAAGTAACCCAAGCAGCCAGGGAATGTTCAGCTTATTGATGTGGCCTTCCACAACAGTCCCAGTTTTCTTTGTGGCTCCTTGGGAAAATTAATTGCTTACCTTTTATCTGGTATAGAAGGCACATATTTTTGTTGCGTTACCAATGACTGCTGCTACATACTCAACACATATTTGTTCTTGTTTTAAATCCCAAATTTATTCATTTACAGGGGCTGTTGGTCATCATGGTGACAACCTAGTAGAGAAAGTTTTGACTATGCTAAAACTCTTACCGGGTCATGTGACAGACGTGCAGGTGGACATGCTGGAGCTCACAAGTCTGCATAAAACCCCTCACTCCAAGAGTATCCTGGCCCCTGGCTGTCTTGCACAGATTCAGTGAGTGTATTTAATTTTTCTATTAATTTAGAGCATTCACCACATTCCCCGTCATGTAGAATCTAATAAGGGTGACTTGGCAATAGCTCGTCACATCATAAAGGCAACATCCAAGTGTTGCTACAGCAATGACCAGCTTGGGGTGTTAGTTTTTGCCACAGGGCTACTCTGACCCCATTATTTACAATACTTGCAGAAGTACCACATATCACTTATATACATCTTAGTACATATTGAAGACATACGTAGCATTTTGATATTGTTTTTGCTGTCTGATTTATTATAACCATTTGATCAATCATTTCACCTAATTTCAGCCAATTGTTAAAACAATAAATGTCAGTATTTGTGCAGTATTGCCGTGTATAGCTATAACCTACCTGCAACAATATTTCTCAAGTGAAGATCTGAAATATTTTATTTTGGCATTTCATACAATGTGTTTGCACTTTAAATTCCGAGTCCACGGTTCTCTGGCGTAAGACGGGTTATTCAGTCTTTGCTGGCAATGAGTTGCTGCCCCGAGTTAATGAGTTTAAGTATCTAAAGTTTTTGTTCGCAAGTGGAGTTGGAGACTTACAGCTGCTGTGGCTGTGCCAGTCCAAATCAATAAACTGGTACACAAAGGTAAAGCTGTCCATTTACTGGTTTCTCTACATGCAGTGGTATAGTGACCAAAGAAATAAGGAGGCAGATAGAAGTGGCAGAAATGTGCTTCCTCTGATGTCTGTGTGTGCTCAACCTCGGTAGTAGGGTGAGGAGCTCAGTCATTGAGGAGAGGTTGACAGTAGTGCTGCTACATCCTTTTTATGTAGAGGTTGTTCCACTGAGGTTGTTTGGGGATATAACCAGAATGCCTTCTAGGTGATGCGTTTCAGGCATGTCAAACTGGGATGAGATCCCAGTGCAGGCTCATGACATGCTAGATTACGTCTGTCCGCTGGCTTTGGAACACCTTGGTGGCCAGGGAGAGGGAATTTGCTAGTCCTACAACCCAGACCCTGATAATTGGTTTAAAAAAAAGAAAAGAAAGAAGATGGTTGGATGGATAAAATCCTTTTGTCTAAACAGAGTTTAGACAGGTCAGCTCTCTTGCCTCATAAAGCCAGCTTTCCTTTCCTAATTTTATATGTTATGGGAAAAAATTACTTTTGTTTACAGAAAGGACCCTGTTTCTTACAGTGAAAGCATGACTATTCATTTAAGAGAGCATTTTTTTTTAAGAAAATAAATAAGGCTGATATCCCACAAGTAAGTTAAATTGAAATAGAGTAACAGCTATATTTGGATTTGAACTCTACACCATTTAGGGCCTTTCTGTGTTTCCAGTTTCCATGATCTTGCTGTCCTAATGTGGTTTTCCTCTTGGTGCTCCAGCTTCCTACCGCAGTTTAGACATGCAGGCTAGATTAATTGGAGACTTTACACAATTATATTGTTGTCTCTTTTTATATTACTGTCTTCTATAAATTGGCAATGAGTAAAAAGGCATCCTTTAACACAACCTAAAAGTAGATTTCTCCCCAAGCCAGGCATACTTATGGACAAATGCACACTTACCAGCCAGAGCTACCCACTCCATCAAGTGGCCTAAGTAGCACATGATCAACATTAGTGCCAATAGTTGAGTGAAACCTGCCTCTGGTCTTAGCTCTGCAGATGCGCATGCTAGGCGCCTGCGGTGGTGCTGTTATCCATGGCAAGGATTAGTCCTACATCAAGTGTTCCATTCTGGATTTGCCCCTTTATGTGGTTGCTGGAGGAAAAGACTTTGACTGAGAAGAAGAGTTTAGTGGACTGAGCTGTCATGCCGCATGTCTGACTGCGGTGATTTCATGAATGGACTCACACATACTGAATGTTTTGAGCTATGGTAAAGATTCTCTTGTAAGAGAACCCGTTTTTCTAGTTGGTGTTCCCCTTGTAATTATTTAAGGACATCTAGGCAGGGTTACCCCAACATGTGGTTGGATGTACAGTTCAAGTTTGGATTCCTATCTACCAAATAACTACGGTATACCCACAAATTACTGTAGTTGCTCTGAATAGCTGCACATCAGAATTAAATCTGGATAATTACAAGTACAGCATCAACAAGGTTGCCCTCTCATTGTTAATTTTATGATGGTATAAATGGGCCACCCCAAGGAAAACTGATAACAGAAACGAAGGTACCAACCACAATCACTGTTCCTGAGCTTTTCACCAAATATGACCAGACTCCCAGCCTAACACCAGATCTTAAAACATTTAGATGATCCATTCAGATATTGTGAACAAGCTCTGCCAAGAGCTCAGATTTTTTTTAAAAAAGAATGCAGATAAGTATTGCTGAAAGTAATAAGTAAATGACGACAGTCTCGGTGGAGAATATCTGTGATCAGGGCCAGTTGGATCAGCAGGAGAGTTATTCCCTACACTATCTCTAAGCAGATGATCCAGCTGAGCCTTATCACAGATGTGTAGGAGATTGAAATGCTGCTGAAGCAGAGCAAGGGAGATGCCTAGAATTCCCACTTTCTTTAACTGGCCTCAAGTGCACAGCTCGCTGCAGGAAGTGTTTATGTCAATCATTCTAATATGTTCAAGACAGAGTTCCTTAAATGCATGTTTTTAGAGGTCTACTGTTCTTCCCTCCTACTGGATGTTTATTCACCCATGATGTTTTTTAGCTATTTTTAGCGTGGGTAACAGAGTGTTTTTATTGGTTTTGTTATGTATGCCATCTCAACCCTTTAAATATTAGGTGTGGATTTAATTTAGACCTTTTGTATGATATTTCCCTCTGTAATTCCAGGATATTTTTATAGATTACTATGTCTTAAACATTCTGTGGGTGGCTGTTGATTCTAGCTCTACAGGCAAGACCCCACACTTACTGTGCAATTACTCTAGTATTGTCTTTCATAACCTGGTGTGAATTTCCATATCCTACAGCCTGACTCTGTGGTTGTAGTAATCATGCCAGAAAGAAAGCATACAGCATGTGGGTGAGTGCACATGCAAACCTAGGCTCTTCGTGCAGTGTTTTTGTATATTTGCTATTTCTATGCTACTACTGTCCTTTTTTTCAGCCATTAAACGGCACCAGGGTGCGCCACTTCGTGTATATAGAAAGATGATGAGTGAAAGTGGCAGTCAAAGTGTTGTTTTATATGCGCGTGTGTGTGTGTTTGTGGTCAAGTACGTTCGAGTCCCGTCTGTATAATTTGCTGTGCTTGGATTCACAGCCCTTTTGATCCTGAGTAGGACATTTGAACCCCATTGGCAGAAGGCACAGAGTTTTCCTCAGTCTCAGACTGAACCCTGCACCCCCGTCATCTGGCCGCCTTGGACCTTGATGCTGTGGCGGGAGTGTGGGCAGAAGCAAGTATGGGTGGCCAAGGTGAACTGGGCCTGCCTTGGGAGCTGTAGAGATTGAGCCAAGCAGTGTTACTGACCGCACCCTGCCATGAGAAAACACTACATGGCTGCCATCTCCACAAATCTGGCCTGCAGATCCCTCATGCATACCACCAGAAAAGAGGGAAAACACCTATTTCTGTCCCAGCTGGGAAATATGAGCATGAATAAAAGCCATGAACACTGATTTCGAACAGTATGAGAAAAGTAACAAAAACAGCCTAGATAGTAAAGGGTGGAGAGGATAAAGCAAATGACAGGCAGTTGAGGATAGCCAAGCCTGTTTTTACTCTACCAAGAATAAGAGTAGAGTATGAAAAGTCACCACGTTTCTTCTACGGTTTCTCCTTAAAGGTTAGAGATTGTTTTGTTATTCTATACTTAGACAGTGAATAGTGGCATGAACAGCTGAATGAGTCTTTCAGTGATTTATAAGCTTAGCAACCATTCTGTTCCTTGCCAACAGTATAGTATGAGTTCCTATACAGTCCTGCATAAGGTAGACACACAAGAAGAAGGTTCAAGCATAGTTGAACTATGCTGCATAGGATGTGGCTTCTGGTCAAATGTGAGGTTTTTGCCTTTGTATTTGAATGAACATTTATAGTAACTGGTTTCAGTGTTGGCTGATTTTACAACTAATGATAAATGTTTCGTATACAGAAAGTGTGCCCAAAGGAAAAGACACAAAAAGGGAAAATGACTTTTTCATTTCTTAAAAATAATAGTCGATCCAAAGTGAGAACCAGTTTTGCTTTGTATCTTTTGATTATTGCATTAAATTGTGAAAATAATTTCTTATCCTTTAATAAAATTGAGCCAGTTTTCAATCTGATTTTATTCACTTTCACTTTTCCTAAAGGTTAATGACAGATAAAGCTGATTTGGAAAATAAAGTTTATATCAGTGTCTAAGATGCAAAGTTTTAGCCATAATAATACATTTAAGGATGGAGTAAGCTGATGTGTCTTGTGGTTCTCCTCTTAAGTTGTTTCTGTTTCATTCACTCCCTAATTCTGCTTACTCTTCTGAAGAAGGTATCTCAAGCTGAAACTCAGAGTACATCAATCAAATAGATTACGTGCACCTGAACAACATGTACTCTGTGTTCCCATCAAGACTGAGATAACATAACCTTTTCAGTCCTGTATGCTGTCTTCTACTCTGTGGTTTAATTTACGCTGCAGAACACAAGAGCTGTTCAGGAAACTTTGTGTGTATTTGTTAACTGAGTTGATAAAACATCTCCCTAAAATGGTACTTTACTTCCTCCAGGCCCATTCCTTCAAAGAGCCCCTACTGCTGGCTTTTATTTGAAATGTGAATGTAGCCAAGACAGAGGAGGAGAGGAAGACTCCTGCATTTCCATTTCCCCCCCATCAAGATCCTTTGATTTTTAACCTTCTCCCACATTTTACCATTCTGCCAGTGCTGCAAAAAAGAAACTTTTTAACATGTCTTTACTATAACCCTGTTCAGAAGACTTGACTTTCTTTCACTTAGGCATAAAGATTTAATCGACATCTTTTATGCATGTTTTAATGTTAATGTGATTTTTTTTTTTTTTTTTTTTGTGTTAAATGGAAAGCTCAAACTGCCACATGAGAATTCACAGCCACTCTATTTGGCTTTTGTAGCATCATTAAATAATTAATTCATAAGTAATACTATAAATGCATTTCTCTTCTTGCAAAAGAAATGCATACAAAAAGAAAATAAGTTTGGGGAAATAAATGGAGGAAGCAGCAATGGCAAATAGAGATGTAAATATGGAAACTAACCACGAAAAATGAATGAAATCATAAATACAAATAAAAATTACACGTGAAAGTAGACAAATAGAAGTATCAGTACAAAAGTAAATAAAACTGTGTGAAACGGACAACAAATGGGCACGCTGTCTATGTTGATTTTCCTTTATTTCAGTGACACACTACTGATAGTTTCTTTTTCACTTTTGCCTCTCCACCTACGTATGCAGATTTCTACCTCTGACACACACTCTCTACTCTCCGGCCTCACAAATTACAAATCACAGAAAATGATTATGAGCTTGTTAGCCAAAAATCACCCCCACATCCCACCAACCTCCCTGGCATCCCCCTTTGTGTTCACTACACCACACCTCCCCTGAAGCTGAGCTCGGGACCACACCTCTGCCACAGAAGCGCCCATTTATTTTACATTTTATGAATTGACACATTTCATTTTCCTAATTATTTTGGTGCATTTGATATTATTTATTTGCTGTAGCAGTTTATAGTTGTCTTTGACGTGTTAAATTAAATGTACATTATTTCTATGAATGAAATTACTCAGACATTTCTTTACTCCGTGCATTTTATTTTATGTCAAAGCCTCGAACCTACATTATCCACAATGACTGATTCAATTCAGATTCAGAAATTTTAGACTAGCAGTGGCTTATGTAAACACAAGGACCAGGATCTATAGGTTATATTAACATTTTAGTTTTTAGCTCCAATCAGGGCAGATTTAAGCAACATCACTTGAGGACATTTCATTCTATTTGACTTCACGTGCAGCCAACACCTATAGGGAGATGACTTTTGTGCAAAATTTCTTAAGCTTCCTTTCCTTTAACGATTGCGTATTTCACTGTTTTATTTGGAGTAGTTAAAGGAAAAACCTTTTACTAATTATTAAAGAAGTGCACTTTTAAGACACATAGAACTGACCCTCAAATTCACATCAGTTTGTTTTACTATTTTTTTATTATTATTATTTATTTATTTATCTGTTTGTGGTGTGCCTCTCCCATCATTCCCTCGCTTCCTGCAAAACTCCTCTGCCTCTTTTTCTCTCCATAAATTCACTGGGTCATTTGTCCCTCTCGCCAGAACACACAGACGCTCAAGGCCAGGTCTGGTTTTACTCCCCCGCCCTCTTTCTCTCTCGTGTCATGTCCTGTGCTAGATGGGGATGTTTACAGAAAACCAACAGTGTTTTTTACCCCATTAAACACACTCCATAAATTAACTCACCAAGGAATGGGTATGACCTTGCACAATTCTGTTAGTCCATGTGTATTACGTGCAGTTCTACTGGAAAATACACAGATCATCTAAATCAGGTGGGATGGGAAATGGATTACTCTCTGGGTTTGCAGTCTGCTGAGTGTGAAACTTCAATACTCTTTAACACATTGGGATTAGTAATGTTGGTTTGCACTAGAGCGTAATGTAGTTTGTTAATGTCACTTTTTGCAGAGATGCCAGCGTACTTTATGAAGTAGTTTCATAGATCTTATATAAAAGATCTGCATACCCTTTAGGACTGATAAGGGAAGTCGGTGTTTGGTTGCCTTAGTCTTCAGTCACACAAGCCTGGAGACTGGCCTATGACCCGCCTGACAATCTCTGGGAACTAGAGAAAAATCTATATTCCACTGGTTGATGAGTGGTCTATAGAGCTTACTGGCTGGTGTTTGGTTAAAATCAGTCTCGAAGAGAGTGCTGCACCAGAACTCTTGTTGTGATTGCTTTGGTTGCCTGTATTTTGTATGAAAGATGGAGTCAGAAGTGGAAACTGTTGCTTTCAAAGTTAAAAATTATGCCTCACCACTGCAACCAGCATTTCAAAATACAAATGCAAAACATTTCTACCGCATGGCAAGTAGTTTGCAAGTATTTGCTGTCAAGTTGATGACTTCCATGCAAACTGTGGGTGACTGTGGGAAACTGCTAGCAATCACAACAATTCCAGAAAGGATTTTGGTGCAGAAATGTATAATGCATTGTGGTCAGTTTCAGACTAGCAACTGCAGCAACCTCCAGAAAACAACCAGTTCCGGAATACACACTTTTCACAGTATGCTTGGTAGTTGCCAGATGGACACTAACGGGTCTAAGCCTGTGTGAAGGAGACCTAACTTGCACTCTGTTAATGGCTACTGAGGGGTCCAGTTCAGTAGAAGTCTGTGATTATCTCATTGCTCACTTAGCTAAAACCTCAGTAGAAACTTACCTAATGAGTTTATTGTGTCAGTCGTTAGTTTTAAGTCACTACATACTCACTACATGTAATCCTGTAACTGTTAGATACCAGTGAAGGTAAGTGAGGAAATAAGGGTGCTTTGGTTTTGATGTGCGGGGAGTTTCCAGGTGGCGAATGAAATGACCATCTAATACTTTTCCTTCAGTCGTTATCAGTCACATGTATCAGTAGTATGACTCCTTTCTGAATCATAAACACTGAATTTTGTGGCAAACATGCACATACATGTTTGACAAAATAATGAACTGGGGGGGGCTCATGAAATCCTGAGTCACCATGGTTTAAACTATCCTATTATGCTGCATCATACTTCCAGGAATGTTA